ACAGTACAAGGTTTTACCACAGAGAGGATCACAATGAGGTGTGAACTCGTCAACACATTCGTTTTCCCCAACATCGCAGTCGCATATATGAGCTCTCTACCCTACCTGAACTTACATCACTAGCTATGTGGGTAGGGCCTACAAATCCGTATCACACGGGATCACATGAAACTGTGAACTCGTTGGTGCTCTTGTTTTCCTGCCCATAGTAGCAGGCAGACAAACACAATGGTGTGTTACCACAGAGGCGGGGGAACTTCGTCAGAGATGGAAAGCTGTAAATTTTTGACAGGTAAAGGTCTTGAGACTCACGATAGGATACATGAAAATTACATGCCTCATGCCACTGTGATTGGTCAAGATTAACCATACTATATGCTCGCCGTTAGTATAAACCCACCCAAGAACATTTCAGAATAAGGGGAGACCACGGTACTGATTTTAGGCTGAACAGGAGTCACCTTACATTCTCCCTTTGGTGCACTGGGTAAGATTCCGTTCGCCTAAGATCCTGCATTTTCCTGGCTCCCAGGCACCGGGATCTTAGAGGCGGAAACTACTGTGTATACGTATAGATTACCAGACAGAATGTGGAAGGGCTCGGGGCCAACCGCTTTCATCATCAAAGTCAAGCTTACCATCGATCCAAGACAAGGTGTACAGTGGTAAACACACACAATAAAAAAAAAACACCAAATGATACAATTTCCCTCCACCCTATCCCCCCAAAAATTAAACCTGATTTCTCAAAGAAAAAAAAAAAGAGAATGGATCTCAAAATAACAACACTCGACACTACAAATTAGATCAATTTTGATCCAATTTGACATGAATATCCTCAGCAGCGTTTTCATCACCTTACGCCTTACATGCAAATGGGCAGAGAATGGCACGCTCTCAGACTAGAACAACAACATCTGTTGCACTAACAAAAACAAGACCAGAAGTTCAGGGGCAATAACCTATTTGATTTGATCCTAAATTAAAAACAAGATTCATAAACTAGCAGCTGATATATCTCTCCAGATGAGAATGTTTTCATGTTTATAAATACATGTTACGAGATGGTCCCACAAAAATAAAGCTTGGCTAACATTATTTCCATTTTTTTAAAAGCTGGCCTTAAATCCTTTTTTTCAACATCATGACATAAAAGTAGACGACAAAGTTATGTGTGTGTGTGTGTGTGTGTGTGTGTGTGTGTGTGTGTGTGTGTGTGTGTGTGTGTGTGTGTGTGTGTGTGTGTGTGTGTGTGTGTGTGCGTGCGTGCATGCATGCGTGCGTGTGTGCATGCATGCGTGTGTGTGTGTATGGCTGCATCTATACAGATGTATACATACATCATGTCCGAATTTATATTAAGCTCTGGGACAGTATATTTGGACACGTGTGTCCTTCTTTTTGAGAAGAAAGTGGCTATTCTCACCCCAGGTGAGAATAAAAATATGATCGACCTCTTACCCCGGATGAGGCTTGCTTGAGTTGGCTATTCAGTAATGGGTCATTTCATCACACGGTCATCTCGTCACAACCCAAATATGTGTGACGAAATGACTTTGCTTACATAAATACATTTGTATAATATCTGTAAAAAATTGTTATTTATAGTAGAGTTTTATACGATCAGCCTAAAGCTTTATAAGTTACATAAATTTTATATTACATATATATAATATATATATAAAGTAAAATACATTTTCCTCCAAACAGTTCTAAAGTTGAACAATAGTTAAAATAATACGGAGTGCCTACTACAGCTGGATCGGGCCGAACGCCCGACTCGATCGCCTGAAACTGAAAACAAACCCATTTGTTTGAGTCGGGCGATCGGCCCCCATCAGCCGATCCCATTCGTAGTGAGCACCCCGTATGGCAAAAACAATGTCTGGTAAAGAGTTAATAAGGCTTTGTTTGAAAGTAAGGGTCTAGCTATTAGCAAAATTGCAGTACCGTACATTTCTATCAGCTAATTTACTTTTAACAGAACTAATTTATCAGTCACACCTTTCATTTATAATAATAATAATATCTAAAAACTTTATTGATCTGATTCGATAGATTACAATATTGTCAATACATACAGTGGAAACCTGATATAACAGGGATGGTGGGAGTAGAAAAAATGTCCTGTTATATCCGATCCCTGTTAAATCAGAAATGAAAGGAAAGTAAGCATTTGTGGACTGATCATGGGTAGTTTCCTTAGCCACAAGTACCCACAAACAGGGGTTTTGGCACCAACTTTCTCCATTGCCTCACATCAGAAGAGCTTGGTCCACAGCATCTGCATCGGATAGTCTCATCTTCTTTCGATCCAGAGCAAACTTTCCATTGAAGTATGCTGCCACTATCTTCTCTCTATCCTTGTTAATGGTGTAAATCGACCCTTGTGGAATGTCTAACTGACGACAAATCTCTGCCAGTGGAGCTTGCTTTTCGTCAACAGCCTGGACTATTTCGTATTTTTTGTCAATTGAAAGGCATTTTCTCGTCCGCTTGACATCGTTGGTAACACATTGCGCGTGTGTGTTGCTAGGTTTCGGGCTAGATCGCTTCACACGCTGCGTGTGCTTGCAGTTGCAGTGGCATCGCTTGCGTGGGCTTGCTCCATCACTGTGTAACTCTCTTTCTCTCTCTCTCTCTCTCTCTTACTTTTTACTCATTATAACGAGCCTTTGTCCCTGCTATAACCAGTTGGGCTGCGATGAGGCCCTGTTATTGCCGATAACTTTTAATAGAGACAAAGAGTAGGAAAAAACGGGGATTTAAAAAAATCCCTGTTATTACCGGGCCTGTATATTTATGAATGGTGTAGCTGATCAGGAAGGCACGACAACTCGCACAGCCACCGCCACCCCCCCCCCCCATGTCATGTACTTTTAACTCTACCCAACCTCCTAAACATACCCATGACCCATGGCATGGCATATATAATAAGTTTCTCTGTTATTTTAAATTTCTCCAGTAAACTGTATTCTCCTATTGCCAGGGGACATGCTAGAGCTACGGCTCTCTTTCTCTTCGGAAGAAGTGGTCCCCGCCTAACTCCATGGAAATTGATACATTATGATTTTATGTACACAATCAGTAAGTAAAAATAACGGAAGTCGCGTAAAAAAGGGGAGTGTAGGGGGTTCTTTTAGTTTAAGTAAAAGTATTACAGCACCACTTGCTACACAAGTCAATAAGGTCAAATGTGTTACAAGAGAGGAACATATAATACACACAAAAAAGAAAGAGGAGACAGTGAGAAATGATTAGGACGATAGATGTTTGATAGGACCTGAAAGAAGGAGCAAACCCCACTAAAGCACCCGCCAACCACCCACCAAAAAATGTTCTCAGCACACTAAAAAATGTTAAAATAGTGTAGAAAAATGGCATCGGCTATTCGGACTCGAGTCTGAATAGCCTCCCGTAGCTATTCAGACTCAAAACTCCAATGCGCATGCATAATCAACAGGTGTAAAGGATGTGAAGAGGACAGGCAATTCGACCGTGGCCTTCCTCAGTTTCTGTGATCTGGCCAAAATTTTCGACACAAATTAAGGAAAGCATTAGTTGACGTCAAAAGTGAACAACAGTTGGAAAATCTGAAAATACTACACAACAAAGGCAAACATGGAAATGACAATCTGAGCTCAAAACGGGAAAAAAAGTTTCAGAACAACAAAAGATTATACTCTATCAATTGGTAGTCTAAACCTGCTTCATTTGATGAGAAAGACAAAAATCATTGATCACTCAATTCGAAGTCCAATCAGAAATTAGGAAGATCTTGAGAAAATTTTTTAATCCCTACTAAAGGGAACAAAAATCAGTCATTCAGAGTAGATCTATCTAGATCTAGATCAAGAATCTAGATCTATCTAACAGTGGTCTAAAGGAAAAGCTTTTCCAACAGCATACTTTACACGATGTTTGTTTGGTTGGTGCTTTTTCGGTAGTTCCCACCCCCCTTACTTGAGCCTAGATCTAGATCTAGATCTAGAATCTACATTTAGACTAAATTACGTTTGATGCGCGGCGAGCTAATCTTGAGCATATATATATATTATATATCAAACCTAAAAATTGCAAACGCGAACTGCAAAACATCAAATTATAGTAAAATTCAGGGGAAGATTGAAGAATACCGGACCACTCGTAGATAGCTATACTATACATATTTGCGCGAGAATGTGGGGTGGGTGGGGCGGGTGAGGGGGTGGGGGGGTTTCAGGGGGGTCTTCCCCCTGACAAAATTTTGATCTACGGGTCCGAGATTCTCCATTGAGAGATAAAAACTGGGGAAAATCATGAATTCCTAAGGTTGAGACATAGGCAAAGTCAGTCCGCTGGTCCGGTATTCTTCAATCTTACCAAATTCAGGGGGCAATCTAGCTATCGTCATCGACTAAGATCTGCCGAACCATGCCATGGAGTACGATGGAGCTACTGCTACTCAATTACCAGAAAGAAGGACTTCCGTAACGAGCGACCACCCCATCAAACACAATAACCTAACCCTACCCCTAGATCTACCCCTGCCCCTAGATCTACCCCTGCCCCTAGCCCTCAATTTTGCTCTGTCTCATAGCGGTCGCTCGTTACGGAAGTCCTCCCCAATACCAATCACTCAATCACCATTCCATTACCAAGGCAAGGCATCATCATCATCAAATGCCTTGCATTGGCCCAAAAAAGGAAACCTTTCCCTTGTAAACTCATTAATTCAGAATCAACAAAGCGTGTAGAACGTTGTCTGACAATGACAACGAGACAACTGTCAACGACCGAACAACCCACCATAACACACACATAGACTAGATTAGTAGACAACTTCTGACACAACAGGCGTAGACACCAAAACAGTCACAGCACAGTAGTGTAGTCTAGATCTAGTAGTAGTTCAGTCGCCTTGCTCATCACGGTGTTGATGAGGCAGAAACAGACACACAAAAGCTGTCGTTACTAGGTTCGATTTCTTAAAGATGCGCATAATACATACATTCACTTACCTATAAATCCGTTATATTCATTACGAAAATATTCCAACACAGAGAGAGTTTAAACCCCTTTTCATTAGCCTTTAAATGAGCATTTTTGAGTGTTGTGTTCACAAAAAGTAGTGTCGAATGAATAAACTCAGTAGGCCTAGCCTACTTTGACGGGAAGCCGGAAATGCAGCCTGGCAATGCCAACAAAACAAAATGGAGACAGATAATGAATGTCACATGACCGTTACACTGATCTATTTTAATTTGAGATTGGCAAAGGGAACAGGGAAAATAGGCTACATCGCCACAGTTGGATTTTTTAAAAATAATGCTTGCAACACTCATGTTGCGCAAACCCCAACAATATTTTGAATTCATTAAGAGAACCTTATAGGCTTACTTGTTAATGTTATCGATAGGCAATGGAAAGGCAAATGTTGCTAAACAAAAGTAGATGTAGAATACTTGCACATATATGTACAATATTATGTAGACAATCAGAGAGGAAGGACAAATTCGATCAATAAAGAGATAATAGGAAAAGGAAAGGGGGGG